GGCATTACAAACTCAATCAGTGGACATCGCGACTGCTACTACTTTGATGAGAAGCTGCCTTAATTTTGTTGTGGCCTACAGAGATAATGGATTTGAAGATGCCATCACTGCTGCAAAGGAATGGCGGAAAACTTGGGAGTTAAGCCTGTCTTCCAGGAAACTTGTATACATGGGAAGAAGAGACAGTTTGGTTACGAGGGCAGAGATGAGGTGATGGGAAGCGCGGAAGAAAAATTCTAGAGGGAGTTTTTTTGCTCGCTCATTGACACTGCTCGAGTGTCCATCAGAGAAAGGTTCAGACAAATGAAGCACCAAGAAAAGATCTGGGAGGTTTGGTATGACCTTAGTAAGCTGACGGCGGACAGGAAAAGACTCTTAAACAATTGTACGGACCTTCATTGGATGCTGACACATGGGGAATGTTTGGATGTCGATGACAAAGATGTCTATGTAGAATTGGACAACATCCATCACATTTTGCCACACGGGAAGCACTCTCCACTTCAAGTTCTCCAATTCTTTCATGATGCAGAGCTGAAGGACACATTTTCTAATGTGTGGATAGCTTTGAGGACTCTGCTCATGCTGCCAGTCACAGTGGTGAGTGGTGAGCCTAGCTTTCTGAAGCACAAGCTCATTAAAGCATATCTTCGCTGGATATGTTTGCTAATGGCTAATGAGAGACTGACATGGCTTGCTATTTTATTGCTTGAAAATGCTATTGGCCAGTCTTTGGATCTCTCTAATGCTGTGTTTCAGTTTGTGAGGGCAAAGGTGAGAAAAGCGACCTTCTGAACAAAAGGGCTAGGGTTAACATTCCAAGACTGTCACCTACTGTAACATTATTAAATACTGGTCCACCCAATGTTGGTGCGCAGTTAAATTTCTTGATGTTAGAATATTTTAGTTATTCTTAAAATTAAAAAAAGTTTCTGTAAGCTTAGAGGAAACGAATTTTTTTATTTGTTTATATATGGCATGAATAAATACAGATTTACATATCCCAGCATGCAAATTTATCTTCTTATATGACAGGGATAAATCATGCATGCAAGTTGTGCATCAGTGTCATGACATGGGCTATAAATGCATAAAAATAAGGTATTAAAAAAATTAACAAATAGAGGGGCAGGGGAGACACTGAAGATGCTCCTAGCCTGTGTCTCTTGCACAGGCTTATATAACAAGAATTAAACTAAACATTTTATTACTTTCACAATCTGTAGTCCCGTGGGTATGGTACAAAACTTGGGGTCAGGAGACCTGAGTTCTATTCCTTGCTCTGGCATTAACTCACTCTGTAACTTTGGATAAGCAATTGCACTTTTCTCAGTTGTAAAAATAGGAATAATTATGCTTATCCATCTTCATAAAATGATTTGAGATGTATGGAAGAAATCAACTATATACCGGGGGTCCCTGTATATGTCTCCCCCTTATCCATCATTTTACATATCCATTGCTCATCAGTAGGGGAATGTGTTCTGATTAACGTCGGTCCTGATCCGCATATCCGTCTCTTCACCTTTTATGTGGTTTTTCTGTGGCTGCTTAGCACCCACCGGCAGCCAGCACCCCCCACTCCCCAGAGTCTCCTTTCTGCCAGTGGCCCTGCTCCTCCACCTCCCTCCCAGTGCCTCCTGCACGCCACAAAA